TTTCTCTGTTCTCAAGATGTATTGTGCATCTTACAGCACTATGTTGTGCAGACTACAATATATTGAAATTCTGTTCATCCATGTCTGTTCTGCTCCAAAGATCACAAGTCCCACAGGACCAAGTCTTATTCATTTTCAAGTTCTCAGTGCCTGACAAAGAACCTAGGACACAGTAACTTCTCCAAAAATGTTTGTTTTAAAGGAGAATGAAGTACAGTAGATCCTGCACATTTCTTGGATCCAAGATTTAAAAGTGGAATGCCACATAACACATAATTACTTCATGACATTTTCAATTACAACATTATCTGGTTTAACAATGCAGTCTGGGGGTTCTGTGAAACCTATTCTAACTCCTGCTTCTGAATGTCCCATTTTCTGAAGCACTTGAAAAAACCAACCTAAGTTTGGATACTTGACAGAATAAGACATATATCAAGGTAGAGAAAACTTTTTTAAAAAATTTAAAATTTTCTTAAGTCCAGAAAAATAATGATAAAAATGAAGTACTGGAAGAAGTAAGCTGTTCACCACCAATGCTGAGAAAATGTGACAAATATACCAAGTTTTATGCGGCAATAATTGTTTATAATGCATTAAATCCTTTTATCTGTTCTTTAGGGGGAAAAAAGGGTGTTTTAACTGATTAACATTGTGGAGGACACTAACCTCCCCCGCAAAAGTAACTTTATTACATTGCTGATTTCTTCTAAGTATTTGCCAGCCTCTGGCAAAGACTAAGAGATGCCCTGTTTCTTAAAGTTCAAGCAGCTTGTAGGGACACTTGCAGCAAAATTAAAAAATTTAAAAAGAAATGTTGATCAATAAATTTGTAATTACTGCCTGATTATATTAGGTATAAAATTTAAAAATATCAATCATGATAACTTAATGGGCAAGACAAGTTCTATATGAAATATTTTATGTTGTTAAACTAAAAGTGGCTCCGAAGTCCCTATGAATGCTAAGACTGATGCATATATTTTCATTTTTCCTAATGTTTTTATGTTCTTCTTTTATTCCAACCCAAAGGTGAATATTTTACTTCCATGGCTTAAGAATTTACTGTATTGAGTTATGGCAGACTTTTATTTCCGATTTGCCACTGTGCTTGACTAAGTACTACAAATCCAGTTTTAATAAGATAAATTTTTTTCTAAAGAGAATCTACTCTAGAGGAGCAAACAGATGTACATAATATTATCATACTATACAATGATAAATGTGCTGTCCTTCTTATTAAATCCCACTCTTAAAATACAGATATAAACAGACTAGTTGGTTTTTTAACAACATTTAGAATATAGCTGTGAGATTTCTCTCATAAAACACACTGTATTTCCTACTAATTAAGACGAAAGAAAAAAAACAAACAAGACTCACTTGATAATCATTACTCTAAAAGGTTTAAAATGATTTAAAAAATTAAGTTTTTACAGTTTTAACCTGGTTTGGAATTCCTCAAACTAAACAAACCAGTACTTAGTACATTTACTTCCTCTGCTTATTTACTTTGCCCAAGCCATGTACAAAAGAAACATTTATTAAAAAAAACTGGTATCTTAATTCGGAAGGAAAAAAAAAAAAAAAGATTCTGAAATTCTTTTTCAAATGTGCCAAAGTCCATACCTGATTTCTTAATGATGAAAGAATATATTCCTTTTCAGCAGGAGAGATTGCCCTATGAGTTTCTGGTGTATCGCTAACTAGCCAGATCCATAAAATAAACCAAAATATTCCAACTATACCTAAAAATAGAAAAAAAGATAGTTAAAATTAGAATGCATCAAAAACAATTTTTACATATCTTGAAAAAATATGTAACTATAAATTTAATCTAAAAATAGTTTAAGATTAGATTCCATTTCAAGTTTTTCTCTTAATCTTTTAGTAGGATAATTGTTATAAATACATTATTTTCTATTAAATTTTTTTTATTTTTTCCCATACAAAAATTTACACATACATTGTTATGTGACTCTAATTGCTCTCCCCACACTGTGACAGCACACTCCTCCTTTCCATCCCTGATTCCCCATGTCCACTGAACCAGCTCCTAACCCTCTCTACCTTCCCATCTCACCTCTGGACAGAAGCTGCCCGTTTAGTCTCTTGTATCTACTTGAGCTAAGAGGTGCACTCCTCACGAGTATCACTTTATGTCCCACAGTCCAGTCCAATCCCTGTCTGAAGAGTTGGCCTCAGAAATTGTTTTAGTTCTGGGCTGATAGAGAATCCAGGGGCTGTGCTTTCCGGGGTTCCTCCAGTCTCCGTCAGACCATTAAGTCTGGTCTTCTTACTAGAATTTGAGTTCTGCACCCCACCTTTCTCCTTCTCCAACTCTCTGTTGTGTTCCCTGTCCAGGTGGTCATTGGTGGTAGCCAGGCACCATCTAGTTCTTTTGGTCTCAGATTGATGTAGTCTCTGGCTTATGTGGCCCTTTCTGTCTCTTGGGCTAATACTTTCCTTGTGTCTTTGGTGTTCTTCATTCTCCTTTACAGGTGGTTGGGACCAACTGACGCATCTTAGATGGCCACTTGCAAGCTTTTAAGACCCCAGACGCCACTCACCAAAGTAGGATGCAGAACATTTCCTTAATAAGCTTTGTTACGCCAGTTGACCTAGATGTCCCCTGAAAGCATGGTCCCCAGACCCCTACCCCTGCTACTCTGTCCCTCAAAGTGTTTGACTGTATTCAGGACACTTCTTAGCTTTGGTTTAGTCCAGTTGTGCTGACTTCCCCTATAGTGTGTGCTGTCCTTCCCTTCACCTAAGACCTATTAATTTTTAAGGAAACAACTTCCAAGCACGACTTCGCCTATCAGGGTCTATGAGACAAATTAAAAAAAAGAAAAAAAAATCCACAGTCTATATATTTCCACAGGCATTTGTTTTTGTTTGCATTGCAGATTATTTCATGCATGAAATGTCTATGTGGCAAACTAACATTAAAAATGTGTATCATCTTGCCAATGAGATTGAGAGATGAAAAGCCCTAGGGCTAAATAACAAGGAAAAACAAAACAAAACAAAACAACCAAGTGAGAGTACCCTGCTTTGTTTGAGAAGGAATATTTTCAAATTAACAGATTTTTATAATACTCAAGTTAGTCATTTAAAATAAATTTATTTGCGGTGAGTTTCATACAACATAAAATTAGCCATGTGAAAGTGAATTTGGTGGCATTTAATACATTCACAATGTTGTGTAACCACCACCTCTATCTAGTTCCAAAACATTTTCATTATTCAAGGGTAAAACCTCTTACCGATTAAGCTGTTTCTCTCCTTCCTCCAGCCCCTGGCAACTACCAATCTGCTTTCTGTCTCTATGGATTTACCTATTCTGGATATTTCATATAAAAAACCAAAAACCCATTGCTGTGGAGTTGATTCCGAGTCATAGCTACCCTATAAGACAGAATTTCCAAGGAGCGCTTGGTGGATTCGAACTGCCTACCTTTTAGTTAAGCAGCTCTAACTCTTAACCACTACACCACCCGGGTTTCCAGATATTTCATATAAATGGAATCGTACAATATGTACTTTTATGTCTGGCTTCTTTCACTTAGCATAATGTTTTCAAGATTCATTCGTTGTAGCACTTATCAGTACTTCATTCCTTTTTTTTATGCCTGAATAATATTTCACTGTATGTTTATACCACGATTTGTTTATCAATTCATCTGCTGATGGATATTTGGCAGTTTCCTCCTTTTGGCTATTGTGCTGCTATAAATATGAATGTACATGTGCTTGTTTGAGTACCTTTCTTCAATTTTGGGGGGTATATACCTAGGTGGAATTACTGAGTCATATGGTAAGTCTATGTTTAATTGTTTTCAGGAACTGCTAAACTGGTTTCCACAGTGGCTGAATCATTTCAAGAAAGCAATTTCTGATAGTTTAGTGTGCCATTTAAGTCTGAGATTCAACAGCGGTTTCTATTCAGAAACATTCCAAAATTACAGGTCATAACTCTTAGCCGGATCACTTTAAGCCTTATCAACTTGAAAAGCAGGTTATCAGAAAGTGTTCTAGAGCTTTGTAGTTTAGCAAATGATTATTTCTGGGAGTCTGCATGTATATTTTTAAGTAATTCTTAGACTACTAGTACATATGGGATTTGTTACATTGTAATTTAGATTAATTTTTTAAATATATGCATTGCTGTCAAGTTGATTCTGCTCACAGCAGCCCTACAGGACAGAGTACAACTTCCCCATAGGGTTTCCAAAACTTTAAATCTTTACGGAAGCAGATTGCCACATCTTTCTCCCACAGAGTGGCTGGTGGGTTCAAACTATCGACCTTCTGGTTAGCAGCCGAGTGCTTTAACCACTGCGCCACCAGGGCTCCTATTCTTTTAAATAAACTTACCAAAAAGGTAGAAGACATAAACCCAATCCATATAGAAGCAAATTATTCCAGAAAGAGGAAGAGCAATTACTGTTCCAAGCTGTGCTCCTAGAAGACAACAAAAAACACTTTGTAAATTTTGGAGATAAAATGAAGAGACAGGTCTACTGCTTAAAGAAGATGGGTAACAGCTAATCTTGAAAAGAAAGAACTAGTCAAATCCTATTAGAGTTGAATTAGTCACATGTAAATATAAACAATTTATTCTCTTAAAAGACCATTTATTAAAAACCCACATATGTAAAACACATACATTAAAATATAGGTATATTATTTGTAACTATGAAGCTATTGATGACTTAGGAGGTATCAATCAATTTAAGACCCACTATAAGATGAACTTGTAAGTGCTACATGTATTACAAATCCAAGTGTCTGGGGAAACACAATCTACCACAGAAGACTTGATGAAATAAAATGAAGTTTTTAATAATCTAATTTGCCCTCCCTCAAATACAAATAATTGTTTCAGATAAATAATTAATAAAATACATTTTAACCACCAAATGCAATACATTTTAGTAGGTGCAGTGGGAGCTAGGTGATGAATTAGATATTTTTTCTGCTCTCAAGTTTCGGTCTTACAGAAGAGATAAACAATTTTTTTTAAAAACAAATAATTTTTACAGGTTAGAAACTGTTAAAAGTGTCCCAGAGCAAAATGGAGGTTCAAATATGGCAAAAATTACTTCTGACCTCCAGAGGTCAGGAAAAGATATAAGGAGCAACATCTGAACTGGACTTTGAAAAGATGGGTACCATTTGGTCCTGTAGAAACAGGGTAAGAAAGAAGGTATAGAGTTAGATGTAACAGGTTAAGAAAAGAAATGGAAAGTAGGAAAGCACAGAGTGGGCTTGGGAATTCCACTTGTGTAAATGAAAGGAAGAGAAGATAATGCCAGAAAAATAGGCTGAACAGTTATTGAGTACCCACTCTATGCCAGATACTATGGGCCAGGGTCTCGTTGTTAGGTGACGGCGAGTTGGTTCTGACTCATGCGACCCTATGTACAACAGAACAAAACACTGCCTGGTCCTGCACCATCCTCACAACTGTTACTATGCTTGAGCCCATCGTTGCAGGTACTGTGCCAGGCACTAAACAAACAAACAAAAATACCAAACCTGTTGCCGTCGAGTCGATTCCAACTCATAGCAACACTCTAGGACAGAGCAGAACTGCCCCATAGTGTTTCCAAGGCATGGCTGGTGGACTCGAACTGCTGACCTTTTGATTAGCAGCTGAGCTCTTAACCACTGTGCCATCAGAGCTCTGTGCCAGGGAGTAGCCAGGTGAAATGAAGTACTATAAAGAATCTTGACTCCTAGTTCAAGGAGTCTAGACTTTATTCACTAGGTAGAGGGGAACTGTAGATAGTACCTGTTCTTGAATTTATTATCAGATTTCTCATGTAATTATCTACATAGTTGCAAGAATGATACGTCAAAAATCTAAATTAGATCATGTCCCTCCCTTGGTTAAAAACCTCTGATGTCTCCCTATTTTATTTTGAAAATAAATAAATAAAAAATCTACATTACTTCCCATAGCCTACAAGGCCTGATATGATCTGGCTCTTGTCTATCCCTCTAATCACATCTTATGCTATTATCCCTTTTATTCTCTATGTTGTAGCCACCCACACTGGTTTCTAATCTCTTTGAACCCCTAAATTATTTCTTGCCTTTGCATATGCTGTTCTGATTGGCTGGAATGCTCTTCTCTTTGCTCTTTGCATGGGTGGTTCTTGCCTATCCCCTTCACAGTTTAGCTTAGAAGTCACTGCAGACCGGCCTTTCTCAACCACTGTATCTAAAAGCAGTCAGGTCAAAATTTTTC